AAATAGTTATGATTTTTGTCGACTAGTACACTGGAATTGGCCGAAAATAGGGCTCAAAGTGGGCAAAATCGCCAATGCATAAACATCATCAAGACTGCTAACTTCGCGAGAGCATAATTCCGTAAGTTTTCCATCAAATTTCATACTTTTGGTGTCATTATGATCAGGAAAAGATTCTCTATCTTTTCATAAGAAAAAATAATTTTTTTTTTTTGGAAATTTTGGCAACCCTGAGAACAAGTCTCTGAGAGGGCCTGGCGACCCCCAAAGGGTTAATGAGACTCGGTGATTATTATTATTATCATTACTAATATGGTGTCACTCGTACAAGTCGTCTGGCTACCACATCTCATATTTATATTTATTTATTCTACTGTGGGGTGTATTTATCATCTTTATATGTTATGTATCGTGTTTATTATATAATTTTGAAAAAATATCGTAGATGGATTAATGAAAATATGTATATTAACATAATATACAACATTTAATGAGACTCGGTGATTATTATTATTATTATTATTATTATTTTTATTATTGCTAATATGGTGTCTCGAGACAAGACACACTTACTGATTTTAATGTGTACCTGCACGCCAGCACATTGTGTAAGTTTATTTAGGTACAGGTATACGTAAGTATAATTATCAGAGTATATATAAAATCCTAGGTAGTAGGTTGGTAGACAGCAACCGCCCAGGGAGGTACTACCGTCCTGCCAAGTGAGTGTAAAACGAAAGCCTGTGATTGTTTTACATGATGGTAGGATTGCTGGTGTCCTTTTTTCTGTCTCATGAACATGCAAGATTTCAGGTACGTCTTGCTACTTCTACTTACACTTAGGTCACACTACACATACATGTACAAGCGTATATATACATACCCCTCTGGGTTTTCTTTTATTTTCTTTCTAGTTCTTGTTCTTGTTTATTTCCTCTTATCTCCATGGGGAAGTGGAACAGAATTCTTCCTCCGTACGCCATGCGTGTTGTAAGGGGGAATTAAAATGCCGGGAGCAAGGGGCTAGTAACCCCTTCTCCTGTATATATTACTAAATGTAAAAGGAGAAACTTTCGTTTTTCCTTTTGGGCCACCCCGCCTCTGTGGGATACGGCCGATGTGTTGAAAGAAAGAAAGATATATAAAATATGAAATACAGGTACCATCCAACTTATGACCGAGCTTGGTTGCAATCAACCGGTCGTAAGTCGAAATGGACGTAAGTTGAACCTTACTGCTGAATATCACAATCACATTTTTGTAATGACTTTATTTTATTGTTTTATTTTGGTATTTCATTTTTTACTTTACTTTTTATGCTGTTAGTACTGTATTTTATACTGTAAGGTTTAGGATGAACACTGTGTTTGACACAAACAGTTGTTTATTTCCCAGAAATTTGGCATACAAAACACGGTCGTAAGTCGAGTGGTCGTATGTCAAGCAGTTTGTAAGTCGGATGATAGGTGTAATTTAACCCTTTCAGGGTCCACAGGCCCTCTCAGAGACTTGTTCTCAGGGTCCCCCAAATTTCAAAAAAAAAAAATAATTTTTCTTATGAAAACATAGAGAATCTTTTCCCAATCATAATGACACCAAAAATATGAAATTTGATGAAAATTTACAGAATTATGCTCTCACGAAGTTAGCCGTCTTGACGATGTTTATGCATCGGCGATTTTGCCCACATTGAACCCTATTTTCAGCCAATTCCAGTGCAACAGTCGACGAAAATCATACCTATTTTGCTAGAACTCCATTTTTTTCTATCAAATGAGTACAAGAAACCACCCGTTTACCAATTTCAACTATCCAGTACAGTGGTCAGAATTTAGCAATTTTGCCAATTTCACACAAAACTCAAAAGATGCCAATTTCCAAATAGGGCCCAGAATAAACAAGAAAGACATTCCTGGCACTAAAATAACATTTCCTCTGTTCATTAATCATGTCCCCACGCCCCTCTTACATTTTTACATTTTGAATTTTTATTCTCACAAAAAATAGAAGATTTACTGTTATGCAGACTAGTGCATTAGTGTAGAAATGGTATAAATAATATTGGTGCACTTGTGAAAGAATATTAGACTCACCAGTTGACGTGTATTGGACGCTTAGCATGATTTGTTTACTTTTGAACTATGGTAAAAATCAAACATTTCTGCTATTTTGAGCTCAATTTCAAGGTACTTTTCATTGTAAAACCAGTGAAAATCATCTCAATTTCAGTAATATGTCTTCCATTCTATCAAATGAGACCAGGAAAACTAGAATACAACAATAAATACCATATGAAAATACAGTGCAAAGTCGCTGTTTTAATCCAAAAACACGGTCAAAGTTTTTTTCTCATTACGCACTGTGTGCTGCAGGATTTTTTTTATACTGCGCACACTGACCACATAGACCCATTCTTTCATATGTAGGCCTACCAGCTTTCTCTCACTAGATTTGAAGGAGCTAGAATTTATGAGCACTAGTACGTCAAGGACCCTGGCACGTAAGCCGTACTAGTACAGCCGAAACAGTGAGAGGGTTAAAAACACTTTAAATTTTGGAGTTTCTAGACATAATGGAGAGACTTAGTGCTTAAGGATCTCACGGAGAATGTAAACAAACCAGATGGGGCGTGGTGACCATATTAGAAAGTCAGGGGGGAGCCGTATAGGGAGTTTTGGTCATAATTTGAAATGACCATATTAGCAGAATGCTGTAAAGCGAACTGCCGTAAACTGGGGCCCTACTGTAATACATTGCGAGATACCAGGAAGTTACTGGGTATCTCTGGTGATGTGGTTAGAACAATGATGGAACCATATCTTGGTAAAGGGCATACATTATATACTGATAACTGGTACACAAGCCCCTTAGTCAGTGATTTCTTGCAAGTGAACATGACAGATGTGTGTGGCACAGTGCGTGGAAATCGTAAACATAAGCCCAGGTTCGACGCTGGCACTTGTAGAGGTGAGGTGCAGGCGTTTGCTGCCAATGACATCATGGCATTTCGGTGGTTTTAGGGTGAACTGTCATCAGTTCACCCTAACGAAATGGCAGACACTGGCAGGCAGCATAGAGAGAGTAATGAACCCATTCTAAAACCTGCAGCTATGATTGACTACACCCTCAATATGCATTCAGTGGACAAGTGCGATATGCAGATTGGGTTTGCTGATTGTGTTCGCAGGAGTTATTAGTAGTACATGAAACTTTTTTCATATTCCATGCTCAATGCTTATAATATGTATAAGATGAGGACCAGAAACAAACCACCATATGGCGAATTTTGTTTGTCTGTCATCAGACAAATAATAATCAAGTACCAAACACAAATAACCCGCACATAGAAGAGAGAAACTTACGACGACGTTTCGGTCCGACGTGGACCATTTACAAAGTCGCACTGAAACGTCGTTGTAAGCTCCTCTCTTCTATGTGCGGGTTATTTGTGCATTGTTCCAGTCACGGTAGTGTGCCTTTTTTTTGTTAATCAAGTACCAAGGAACAACACCTGCAATAGAAAACCGCCCACGAAATTATCAATAACTAACTTCTTGTCTGAAGCATGGTGATCACTTCCTAATGAAACTGCCTGCTACTGCTGTCAAGAAAAAGGCTCAGAAGAGGTGTTACGTCTATGCACATACAAAACAACGCCCACAGTAACGCAGAGACACTCGTTTTATGTGTGAGGAATGCAAAACACCATTGTGCATGACACCGTGTTTCAAAGACTTCCACAGGCCGCAGAACTTCTAAGAACATGTCCAGTGACTGTATATATGTATATATAATATAGAAAAATTGTAATAAACAACATTTTATTTTGTTCGTTTGTGTAAACATGTTTTGTAAACAGTACAATGACAACAGTGTTTGTGCAGTGATTGTGTAGTACAAAAACAGTGAATAATTACAAAATAGTCCTCATGTTGGTCTCACAGACCATAAAAGTTACTTGAAAAGAAAAAATATTAAAAAAATAGTAGAAAAAGGTAGGAAAAAAACGAAATAAATGATTACCGGGTGACCGGCAATCGGCGATTTTGGGGTATGCAGGTAAATTTCTGTCAACTTCACGCCTCCATATCTCGGTAAGTATTGATGGCAAAAATTATTTTTTTTTAGCCTATAAAATTTAGAAAAAACTATCTTTTCGTAAGAAATTTTTTTTTTCGAATATTTTCCGACCCTGAGAACAGGTTTGGGAGAGAGCCTGCCGACCCTGAAAGGGTTAAGGAAATAGAAGAATACACCGATGAGTGTGTATACACATACATGTACATGATGTATAATGCGACCTAAATGTAAGTCAAAGTAGCAGGATGTACCTGTTGTTTTCCATGTTTATTTATTTATTTATTTATTTATTTATTTACAATTTGAGCACACATACAGAGGTACAAAAAAATACAGATAAGAGCAGCATGCCAAAGCCACTTATACTATGCATAGCATTACGGGCTGGCTTAAAATTAACTTAAGATTAACTAAGCAATGATGAAATCAGTGATAAAACATCAATGTAAACAGATTACTATAAAGCACAAGTGAGTATTACAAAGACAGGTCATATGGTTGCATTCAGTCGTATGAAGGATTCTGTTAGGTAGTGTATTTAAAAAATAATAAAGTTAGATTGGGTTTTAGGTTTAACATTTATGTGATATAATTGTGAGAAACATTTAAGATATACAATTTATAAGGTTCAGTTATTCAGTATTTATTTGGTTTTGGGTGAGTAAGTGATCTTTGAGAAGAGACTTGAATTTATAAACAGGTAGTGTTTCTTTTATATTTACAGGTAATGAATTCCAGATTTTAGGGCCTTTTATGTGCATTGAGTTTTTGCATAGTGACACCAGCAATGCTACTATTCTGTATTTATACATAAACTATTTTTGTAACATGTTATTCATTTTTTGTTATAGGATTTTATTTATTAAATTATATTTATATATATATATATATACACACACACACATATATTTATATTACAGCAAGCCATGGAGCAGATGGTTCTGAAGTCAGTGTAGTGCGAATGGGAAGTGGCGGAGTGGAGAATCTCGGTGAAGCAAGTGTTAATGCCTTAGTTGCTACTTCTGATGGCGCTCAGCATGTTAATCTTACTGTTGAGGGATTCCCAGCAATTCCAATTGAAGGTTAGAAAATTATTATTAATTTGAAACTATTTGAATTTACAAATCACTGAGTATAATGAATAAGAATTCTATTTTGTAACCATAATCTCATGAAGGAGTAGCAATAATGTTGAAGGATAAGCTATGGCAGGAAAAGCGGGACTATAAATGTATTAATTCAAGGATTATGTGGAGGAAAATAAAGGTTGGATGTGAGAAGTGGGTTATAGTAAGCGTATATGCACCTGGGGAAGTGAGAAGTATAGAGGAGAGTGAGTGAGTTTGGGAAATGTTGAGTGAATACGTGGGGAGTTTTGAACCAAGTGCGAGAGTACTTGTGGCTGGGGATTTTAATGCTGAAGTGGGTAAAAATGTTGTGGAGGGAGTAGTAGGTAAATTTGGGGTGCCAGGGGTAAATGAAAATGGGGAGCCTTTAATTGAGCTATGTGTAGAAAGAGGTTTGGTAATAAGTAATACATATTTTGTGAAAAAGAGGATAAATAAATATACAAGGTATGATGTAGCATGTAATGAAAGTAGTTTGTTAGGTTATGTATTGGTGGATAAAAGGTTGATGGGTAGGCTCCAGGATGTACACGTTTATAGAGTTGCAACTGATATATCAGATCATTATCTAGTTGTAGCTACAGTTAGAGTAAGAGGTAGATGGGATAAGAGGAAAATGGCAACAACAAGTAAGAGGGAGGTGAAAGTGTATAAACTAAGGGAGGAAGAAGTTCAGGTGAAATATAAGCAACTACAGTGGACCCCCGGTATTCGATAAATCCGGTATTCGATGCATTTTAATGCAAAAATTTTGCCTCGGTATCCGATTGAAAACCCGGTATTCGATACGATTCGTACGAGACGTGTCCACATGTGGCCTGAACTGCCCTATGTGTGCCAGTGTTTACAAGCCAGCCAGTGTGTGCGCATCTAAGGATACATTCGGTACATTCCATATTATCACTGTTTTTGGTGCTTGTTTCTGCAAAATAAGTCACCCTGGGCCCCAAGAAAGCTTCTAGTGCCAACCCTGTGGTAAAAAGGGTGAGAATTAGTATGGAAATTAAGAAAGATTTTGAAGGGTTTGGGGCTAACCCTGAGAAGCCTATGCCAGTTGTGGAATCCATTGTGCCTACTTCAAAAATTAAGGAAATGTGTGCACAGTGGGTTGAACTGCAAACCTTTATGGATGAAAATCATATAACGGGATTGTTTGGCATTCTGGTAGCGGGTGGTTAATGATAAACTTCTTCGGAGGCTTCTTACTTTATTGTTAAGTCGTGGTGGGTACACAGGCTTGTGTGTTTGAGCCCATGGCCCGGGCAGGGCCATCCCACGAGAGAGAGAGCTAGTAGGCCTTCTGTCTTCCTGCTAGGCTGCTGTGTGAGTGAGAGTGAGGCAAGGGCAGGCAGGCTGAAGTGGCAACGCCTATAGGTGGCAGCACCAGCATGGCGCGAAATATGAACTAAGCTGGCAGACAGCATGGGCTGTCTGTGCAGACAGTACAGGCTGTCTACATACGCTCGGCCACCTACCGCGAGTCGTCCCGACACGACAATACTGGTGGTAAAAGAAACTCGGTCTCTCTCTCATAGGAACAGGGCACAGAACACAAAATAAAAACATATATATACATATGGACATGGAAAAAAAACTTCCTACAGGGAGGGAAGAAAAAACATGTGGGGTGTGCTAAACATTGTGGTCATAGGCAGTGAGCGTCGAAGGGCATCACTGCACGCCTTCCTGCGTCTGGACAGATACTGCAGCACAGGAGACATCGCTGCGGCTGAGCTGTGACGTAACAGGGTACGGTCTCCTCTGGAACGGTGAAGCAGTCATTGTAGGCGTCGCTGCAGGTTTTCACTCAACCTGGGGCACGACATGCTGGTGCCCTCGAGTGAGGCGTCGACAAAACTCGGCAACTGGGCAGGACTTCTGGCAAGCGACTCAGGAGGACACTTCTCGACTGGTACTGTCACTGGGCTGTCACTGCCGGCGAGCGTGGAGTGAGTTGTGGAGCGAGTTGTGGCAGAGACGACTGGGCGAAACACCTGGGAGTCGTAACATCATACACCAGACTGCAGTGAGAGAGCTAGCAGTCAAAGTGACATCTTCTTCGTGCAGGCTGCTCACTGGAGCATGTGACACGAGGCTGACACAGTGTGTCATTCTCTCGACAGTTGGAGTTATAGCAGAAGTTAGTCTAAGCGTCCCCAGACTTGTTTCTCTACATATAACTGCACTCTGACGGTCTGGAGGTGAAGTGAAACAAATCTCGATGGGAATCGTAGCAGGTACGATTCTGCAGAACATCACGAGCGACAAGCATAAAAGCTTTCTGTACAAAAGGGCTCGGTCACTCGTTGCTGTCTGATAGCAGCTGTCAAACACACTGGTCACACAGGTGACTTAGCACAGTGGTGCTACTCAGGTCTGGCTCAGACCTCACTGGACACACGGAAACTTTAAACACACCCGCGGTAAATGCGGTACAACATGGCTTAAACTAGCAAATGATGCTTTTCTGTGCATAAAACTGACACTAAGACATATACTAAAATGTGAGAACATTGACTGAGAGGAATTAACACGACATATATCTTCTCTTAGTCTTCTCGACAATATTTTAATAATTACTGAACACTCGATGGTGACATCATGTGATGTCAGGCGTGATGTCGCGAGGTGACGTCAGCAGCACTGACGTCAGCAGACATCTCGAGGTGACGTCAGGCAGACATCGTGAGGTGACGTCAGCAGACATCTCGAGGTGACGTCAGGCAGACATCATGACGTCATGAAGTCGGGGCAGCATCGTGGGTGACGTCAATGTGATGCGGGCAGCAGACCACAGCATGTGCCCTGAGACATCTGGCTCGGTAACTCACGTGGTTTGTAGATCCACGTGACATCGCCCACACCCAACGTGGCGTCGGGATCCACATGACGTCGTGATCTACGTGGCATGCTGATCCACGTAGCTTCGAGTGGCCTCGGGCACTCGGATACACAGCACCGGCAAAGAATTCACACGACAAACAGCAGAAAACACAGCAGAGGGAGTGGGCAGTGGTGAGTGGTGTACGGTAGGCTGGTGAGGTGTGAGAGTACAGCAGGGTGAGGCAAGGAGCGGCCACTTCCTCCTCCCACAAACACGTGGAGAACTCACACTGGACGCAGAAATCGCCACAAAACTCACCTCTGGTTTTTGCTGAAACAGCTGTGCTGAGCTGAACAACAACAGCAGCAACATACAAGTGACGCTGAACACGTGACTTGGGAAACAGCGTGGGACGCTGTAGCGTGGGGTCACTTACAATTCTCGGAGAATTTCGGCAAATTTCGGCTGGATCCTGCTTGTACCTGTGTCTGGATGCTGAAACGTGCAGACACGACATCAGGATAACTCGTTGAGAGACGGATGCTTGTTGTGTAGGGGGATGAAATGAACAACTTCATTCCTTCCTTCCTCTCTCTTGGCAAACACACTGCTGCGACCACAGCTTTCCACCATTTATAACGAGTTTATTTGGCGTAGCTGCAAGTGGGTGGTTAATGATATATGTCTTCCAAGGCTTCTTTGTTTATTGAAAAATGTTGTGGTGGGTACACAGGCTTGTGTGTTTGTGTCCATGGCCCGGGAGGGCCATCCCACGAGAGAGAGCTAGGTGTAGGCCTTCTGTCTTCCTGCTAGGCCGCTGTGTGAGTGAGAGTGAGGCAAGGGCAGGCAGGCTGAAGTGGCAACGCCTATAAGTGGCAGCACCAGCATGGCGCGAAATATGAACTAAGCTGACAGACAGCATGGGCTGTCTGTGCAGACAGTACAGGCTGTCTACAATCACCCTAACACAGCTATTGCAAGCCGTGCTGGTGACTATTACAATGACAATGTTGTGGCCCGTTTTAGACAAATAGTAAAGGAACGGGAGGTACAGAGCTCTTTGGACAGATTTGTTTTGCGACAGAGGTCCAGTGACTCTCAAGCTGGCCCTAGTGGCATTAAAAGAAGAAGGGAAGTAACCCCGGAAAAGGACTTGCTACCTCAAGTCCTAATGGAAGGGGATTCCCCTTCTAAACACTAACACCATCCACACTCTCCCCTCCTCCCATCCCATCAATCATCACCAGATCTTCAATAAAGGTAAGTGTCATGTAACTGTGCATGTCTTCTTCAGTTTGTGTGTATTAAAATTAATATTTCATGTGGTAAAAATTTTTTTTTTTCATACTTTTGGGTGTCTTGCATGGATTAATTTGATTTCCATTATTTCTTATGGGGAAAATTGATTCGCTTTTCGATATTTTTGGTATTCGATGAGCTCTCAGAAATGGATTAATATCGAATACCGGGGGTCCACTGTATTGGCAGAAAGGTGGGCTGGTGCAGGTATGAGTAGTGGGGAAGAGGGGGTTGAAGAGGGTTGGAATGGTTTTAAAAATACAGTATTAGAATGTGGGGCAGAAGTTTGTGGTTATAGGAGGGTGGGTGCAGGAGGAAAGAGGAGTGATTGGTGGAATGATGAAGTAAAGGGTGTGATAAAAGAGAAAAAGTTAGCCTATGAGAGGTATTTACAAAACAGAAGTGTTATAAGAAGAGTAGAGGATATGGAGAGTAAAAGAAAGGTGAAGAGAGTGGTGAGAGAGTGCAAAAGGAGAGCAGATGATAGAGTGGGAGAGGTACTGTCAAGAAATTTTAATGAAAATAAGAAAAAATTTTGGAGTGAGTTAAACAAGTTAAGAAAGCCTAGGGAACAAATGGATTTGTCAGTTAAAAACAAGAGTAGGGGAGTTAGTAGATGGGGAGATGAGGTATGAGGTAGATGGCGAGAATATTTTGAGGAACTTTTAAATATCGACTAAGAAAGGGAGTCTGTAATTTCATGCATTGACCAGGGAGGTATACCATCTTTTAGGAGTGAAGAAGAGTAGGATGTGAGTGTGGGGAAGGTACGTGAGGCATTATGTAGAATGAAAGGGGGTAAAGCAGCTTGAACAGATGGGATCATGACAGAAATGTTAAAAGCAGGGGGGGGGAC